GCAAAATTAGATTGCCTAATCTCTCAGATAATGTCTTGGGAAAGCTAGCACAGATATCAACTGCAGTGCAATTAAAGATATTCAGCTTATGAAAGCAACAAATTAAGATTTAAGCGAGTAGAGATAGGGTTCTTGCGTGTGCATCGATCTCTTTTTATGTCTTTGTAATCACTCCACCATGTAGCTTTACAATAATCCACTTAGGCAGACTTTGAACTTGGTTTTTTAATGGTTCTCAGTGGGTCTTAGAAGTATCTTCTTCCCCCACTGTTTTGTCCGACTGTTTGGCCTTTTGTGGAGTGAACTGTCAAAAAAGGGAACTACTGAGGCGGACATCACTCTGTGTTTTATCATGTTGGCTCCATTGAGTCACATTGGCATGGGGTTTGCATTATTGTATCATAGCAGGACAGTCTAAATTCACTTTTTCTTCTTCATAATTCTCTTTACTTGACATTTGATCTCCGAGTTCCTTCCTGTATGTGTTAATTGAAGCTGTCAGAGTAGCATGCACGCACACACAAGTGTACACACAAAATTTAATTACTGTTAGAAATCTTTCAATATTCATTAATGTTAGAATATCTTTCAGATATGTATTGTGTGAAGAAAAAACAAAACAAAAGGCTTTTGGATTATGGCATGGAATGAGAAATTTAAGTATAATCAGTGTGTCACTCAGGGTCTTCTGGTAACATCCTTCCACAGTTGTTTACTGAACTTTATTGGGTAAATCATAACGTTTTGACAGCATTAATATGTTTTAATTGGGTATTTTTTAATATAATGTTATTTTAATTTTCACTGAAAAGGTGCATATATTATCTAATATATAGTAGATTTCACTATGAATTCTAAAAAACTCATTCAAAAGTTTTACTATCTATGTTTACAGTATTTTATGTGGATTGTCTCATTTTTGTTGAAAATTGTAAGTTATCTTACAATTAAACTAATTAACAGTTAACATTTATTTCCTATGGTTCCTGAGGTAAGTTCCCTAAATTCGAATTTAAGCAAATAATAAACCATATCTTTTAGGTCTGTGCCATATGCAAAGCAGTTTTGACAGGTTTTTCATGGTTAATAACAATTTTTGCTGGTATGTATTTAATGTGTTATGATGTCATGAAAAATTACTAAAAAAATAAGACAAGCAAATAGAGCCTGTTTTGGGACCATTAATTTTTTTTCCCATATAATATTATTTTTTTCTTTACATTTTAAATGTGTATATTTGAACTAAAGTACAACACTATGTATAAATACTGTGTAATATATAGATAATTATAAAAATTTTCCCTATTACATTAATGTTACTTGTCTATACAAATGCATGTCTGAAGCTTTAGGCCAGTGCTGTAAATTGCAGTCCTATCAATCCCTGCCACCACCATTCTTCCAAAACTTCAGAGTCAACTTTTGTGTGTGTGTGTGTGTGTGTGTAATCACTCCAACATGTAGCTTTACAATAATCCACTTAGGCAGACTTTGAACTTGGTTTTTTAATGGTTCTCAGTGGGTCTTAGAAGTATCTTCTTCCCCCACTGTTTTGTCCGACTGTTTGGCCTTTTGTGGAGTGAACTGTCAAAAAAGGGAACTACTGAGGCGGACATCACTCTGTGTTTTATCATGTTGGCTCCATTGAGTCACATTGGCATGGGGTTTGCATTATTGTATCATAGCAGGACAGTCTAAATTCACTTTTTCTTCTTCATAATTCTCTTTACTTGACATTTGATCTCCGAGTTCCTTCCTGTATGTGTTAATTGAAGCTGTCAGAGTAGCATGCACGCACACACAAGTGTACACACAAAATTTAATTACTGTTAGAAATCTTTCAATATTCATTAATGTTAGAATATCTTTCAGATATGTATTGTGTGAAGAAAAAACAAAACAAAAGGCTTTTGGATTATGGCATGGAATGAGAAATTTAAGTATAATCAGTGTGTCACTCAGGGTCTTCTGGTAACATCCTTCCACAGTTGTTTACTGAACTTTATTGGGTAAATCATAACGTTTTGACAGCATTAATATGTTTTAATTGGGTATTTTTTAATATAATGTTATTTTAATTTTCACTGAAAAGGTGCATATATTATCTAATATATAGTAGATTTCACTATGAATTCTAAAAAACTCATTCAAAAGTTTTACTATCTATGTTTACAGTATTTTATGTGGATTGTCTCATTTTTGTTGAAAATTGTAAGTTATCTTACAATTAAACTAATTAACAGTTAACATTTATTTCCTATGGTTCCTGAGGTAAGTTCCCTAAATTCGAATTTAAGCAAATAATAAACCATATCTTTTAGGTCTGTGCCATATGCAAAGCAGTTTTGACAGGTTTTTCATGGTTAATAACAATTTTTGCTGGTATGTATTTAATGTGTTATGATGTCATGAAAAATTACTAAAAAAATAAGACAAGCAAATAGAGCCTGTTTTGGGACCATTAATTTTTTTTCCCATATAATATTATTTTTTTCTTTACATTTTAAATGTGTATATTTGAACTAAAGTACAACACTATGTATAAATACTGTGTAATATATAGATAATTATAAAAATTTTCCCTATTACATTAATGTTACTTGTCTATACAAATGCATGTCTGAAGCTTTAGGCCAGTGCTGTAAATTGCAGTCCTATCAATCCCTGCCACCACCATTCTTCCAAAACTTCAGAGTCAACTTTTGTGTGTGTGTGTGTGTGTGTGCGCGCACATGCATGCCTACAAGTCAACTTGTGCTTGCTTGTGTGTTTTTTGTAAGTCGTTATGAGCATGCTCTCTTGTGGGTATCGAATTCAGCGAGTGGTCTTGAGCATGTGCTCTCTGCACAGGACAGAATCAGGAGTAGATGGCCCGAGGGTTGGCCAAATGAATGCCCGTCAGCCTGCGTGCCAGCATTGACGCAAGTGATATTGAATCAGGCATTAGCAGACTGATGACTTCAACCTGAAAGGCTCTGCATTTCGTAGCTTCCACATGGGGTTTCCAGCTCTGAATAAAGCCCAATTCTTCAATCAAGACCTTCCACAGCGCTGTCAATAGCATTGATATTAGGGGCTGTTTAAAGCTGTGAATCATGCTACTAAATGCAGGGTGCACTGTGGATATCTGCAGGAAAAAAGCCAAGTAAATTAGAGGCAGTATTGTGATGAAACACGACGATCGATGACAGCTGACTGATTCACTGATCTAAGTAGCCAAATTAACCATTTCACACTTGCAGTTTGAAATGCTTCATTAGTGCCTACTGACCGCTTAGTCCAGGGTCTCTGAGGCGTGACAGCAAAGCGAACTAGATTTCTACTTTTCTGAGGAAAACTTGAGGGGTGCTTACCTGAGCAAAAGTCACTTGCACCATCTGGTTTGTGGCTGACCCTCAAGTCTCTATGATAGTATTGTCCCTAGATATATATGTTTTAAGACTAAGGGTTTTTAAATAGAAAATATGGTTGTGCAATATTCACATTTTAAGAATTGGCTCCCTTTCCATTTGTAAATTGGATTTTGAATTGCATTTGCTACATCCCTGACCCTCAGGAGGTTGAATTGAAATTGGAATTGGAATGACAAGAGGTTCTGGAAAATTATGGATTGTTGCATTTTTCTCCAAAAATCACTGTCTCTAAGACTAATTAAACTTTTCATAAAATCAACATAAAAAAATCTTTAACCCAAGTATGAGCAATAGCCTAATAGCTCAGCATGCCCCCTTTATTTCATTTCATTTCATTTTAACCTAAGTATGAGCAATATAGTAATAGCTCAACATGCACCATTTTATTTTAATCCAAGTATGAGCAATAGTAATAGCTCAGCATGCAACATTTTTATTTTATTTTTATACATTTTGAGTTTTTTTTTACCAGACTATATTTAGCAAAGATGATTTAGAGTTATTTTTTATTTAGAGGAAAGATATTTACCTAAACATTGTTTTAACTTGTTTGAAGAGCTGTTCATACAGGGATATGGGTTCGAATCTGGCGTGCATCATGTTCCAGTCCTATGCCCTAACTCACTCTCTCCATCACCTTTTCAATGTTTGGCATAAAAGACATGAAAAGCATTCTTTTTCAAAACCCACTATTCATTCAGAAGAGGCAATTAAGTCATTTTGTTCAAGTGAATATGGACAGAGAGAACATAAAGACTGGTCTGATGGTGCAGTCACAATGTGATGGAAACTAATCTGGAATTTTGCTAATTAAAATAATATTTGCTCTCATGTAAATCACATTATTAATTAGCAGATGGCCACTTGCAGCCAGTTCATTGCTTTAGTTTCTCTAAAAAGAACCAGATACTGCTATTTCAAATGTTAAATCAACTAATTGACTATTTACTTGACTTATGAACTCTTTTAAAGGACATTTAAACAGTTCACATTTACAGTCTTTAGTATGTATAAAACACATTTGCTGTGAGCGCACGGCATGCATAAGGTACTTAAAATGTAACCCTTACATTCCGCAGAAAAGCCTGAAGTATCTCCAAGCTCATATCCTATGTCCATGCTTGAAATGGTGCTATAATTCCTGAGACTGATGCACTGCCAATTTACCCGTGCTCCTTACATGGCAACGGGAGAGCGTGGATAAAGGGTTTTAAAGTAGTAAACACCAGTCACACACCAAACTCCACATATGCTCACAGGTTCACATCACTGCCTCTCTACATATCACAGTTTTATTTGATTAGCTCATGAATGCAACGTACGGGTGACTGAGAAATGGTTCAATTCTGAGCTTTATTTTTGCACATATTGCAACCTTTTTTATTAACATGCTCACTTGTCAAATGTGCAGCCACTTGCTTGGTCTCATATTCATGCCCTATCACCCCCCCTCCACCATCAGCTCATGATTTTTTTTTATTCATCGTTACCCTCCCAGACTCTCCCCTGGCCAGCCAGTGCAGTTGACAGCACTGAACTTGTATAGGCATAAAGCACAGTGATGATAAGCACATTAAAGCTGCTGTATCCGCTGGGGGAGGGGCTTAGCAGCTGCTGCCTTATTGGTGGTCTGAGTGGCAGGGGAGGGGCTGAGGGAAGTACAGGCAGAGAGAGAGAGAGAGCGAGAGAGAGAGGTGAGAGCTCAGCGTTAGGTTGGAAGGGAATGCCCACTAGATGCGGCTGCTGATAATAGCATGTATCAGCACCAGAGCAGTGATTGAAAGCGCAGACAGCAAGAGGGGGAGAGGAGCAAGGAACAGCATGCTCTGCCAGAGGCTGGTTAAATCACGGCAGCGTAATTGATTCAGGCAAACGAGGAAAAAAAATAAAGAGAGGTCTAGAGAGTCTCTCAGAGCGCAAAATCCTGAGAGGAAAACGGGGGTGGAAGTTAGAAGGCTGTGGGAACTCATCAACTCCTCGTGGAAAGGCAGAGCTGAGGTCAGGAGGCAGGAGTGTGGGATCGAGCAGCAGCTGAACCAAGCCGGACATTGCTTGGGCAGGGGGTGGACGCTCTTTTAGAGGGGTAACGAGGGGCGTAGGGTGAAGGAATACTGCTGAAACTTCAGTTACACTCAACGCGCACCTGCTCGTGGGAGTTGCACTTCTGGATATTACAGCAAGGCTACGGGGCAAGCTGCCACATCCACTAGAGTGATTTTGCAAAGCCGCTGTCTGATTGACTTAATCCTGATCTTTTGTGTGAAAGAGAAAGACTAGCACTTTTTGGAGCTCAAGAGTGCAAGTTCAAGGTTCTGTTCAAGGGCTATTCTGAGAGACATGATAGAGAATGAAATAAAGAACGCGGCTTCCATTCCAGAGCATGGAGAAGTCAAGTAGTGAGGAATCCGCCATCCACCGTAGCCCCTCTGTGGACAGCCACGACTCAGACTTTGCCCAAGCCTCCACCTCCGGACGGCCATTCGGAGGACGAGGCTTTACCGCTGGCGCCTTTTACGGGTCCACTGGCCCACGTGCTCAAACCGCTGCTCAGAGTGGGGCGGCCGGTGACGACAAAGGCAACAATAAATACAAGTCTCCAAAAGGCAGCAAATACGTGGTCTTTTATCTGGATCTATCCTTTGTCTTCCTTCTAGAGTTCAAGAAGTGCAACATGGCTAGAGGCTGCCTGTGCTGTCTGAAATACATGATGTTCATCTTCAACCTCATCTTTTGGGTAAGTCACATTTTGAATTTCCTTCTGCTTTGTTCTTCCTCTGCAGGTAGTGAGGTACTGACAGTTTGGTCAGAGTTTGGTTACAAGCTCACTAATTGTAACAAGTTCACGTTGAGATGTCATGGTGCATGTTCCTCAGAGCGACCCGTGCCGGTACTGGGACTTTCCTGTCATGTGTTTTTCCTATGTTACGTCAAGCTAGCCATGCTCTCATTTACGTTCTCGCTACTATTTCTGGCTGCCTTTGAGTCTCTTGGGGCACCCTGGGAATAACTGTGCCACACTCCCAGAATGGGTTTAGCTTGCAAAGATGCTTGCATGAGATGCTGTGATGTTTACATAAAGATTGATAAAAAGAATCCATGATTTGATCACATTCAATCATAGCTTCTAACAACTTGTTGGGAACTGAAGTGAGAAACTTAAATGTTCAGTTAAATGCATTTAGTTTTGTATTGCTTCAAAAAACATGGTGTTTCTGATTAATTTTTCCCATGCATTTTATTCATTTTTTTGGTGTTTTATGGTTTGCTGTTGATATATGATGATGGTTAGTCAGTTTTTGAAGCATATCTCAGAAAGATGGATGTAGTGGATTAAAATCTGATGGGAGAGAGTGTATGGAGGACATTGGACAGAGTCTTTTGTGCAGAGGCACTCATGCATAAACGCTAATCGCATTAGCTAACAAGGTTCGCCTCACACTCGTACTCTCAGTAATATCTGGGCCACGTCTGAGTCACTATTGGAGGTAAGGAGTCTGCCAGAGCATAAAATACTGCCCCCATCCATCCACCTCTCTATGACAAGATGCTTGAGTATAAATCCCAGAGCTTCAGTAAAACCCAGCTAAGTTGTGAACTGTAGTTCAGGATGGGTGGCCTGTCACGTTACCAGAGTCCCGAGACTTGTTTTGATCTCGGAAAAGGCTTAAGTCTTAAAGGTGTGTGTGCAAGGAAGAGAAACCAGGTGGTGTCACAGAGCAGGTACTAGAGTCGTTCCCAGCAGGTCATTTTGCTTGTGTGATCCGATTGTTTTTCACTAGAGATAAACCCAGAGTGACAACCCCACAGGTGCTCACAGCTCAACGGGGCATAATCCCATTCCATAGCTATGAGAACAGACGGTAGATTACGGTCAAAGGTTGTGAGCTTTGATACAACGTACTGTCAGCGAGATTTTGAAGTCCCTGAATTGATCTCTAAGAAACAAGGTCTAATAACGAGGGTTAGCTGGGAGAAAGTGTCTGTGCATTAGTAGTAGCAGCAAGAACCACTTGACCGCTGGCAGTGCAGCTCCTGCTGAGAGGTAATTTAGATGTTCTGGTGGTAATATTCTTTTAATGATTCTTCACATGACCTGAGTTGAGTCCCATGAGGTCATTCCAACATGGGCGGCAGTCAAAGTCCCAGAGCTATTCGTGTGCAGTTACCAGCGTGTGTGTGATTTTGGGTTACGACATGCCTCAGAGAGTGATGGCGATTGAAGCTTGGTGTTCTCCATAGGAGAGTGTGCCTCTGTATCATGACACCCCTGGGACCGCACTCCTCTTGCTTTGGCGCTCCAGGAATCGCAAGGTTACCATTCTGTGGAACGTTGAAGCCTGTCACTCCATCCACTTTAGAGAGCCAGGTGCTGCCGCTTGCTGCCTCTTCACAGAGCTTACGGTTGTAACTCGAGGCACTAGGTAAATAGAAGCAGGAACCTCAGGCATGCCATCGGGCTCCTGTACAGGACAACTTCAGCAGTTGCTCGTGACCATCTGGCTCTTTCTTAGGTGGATTAGCTTGGTTTGAGCTGGACGGCATCAGCACAGATTTGAGCATTTAGTGGTGAGCTTGGTCACACAGTGTTCCTGACTCTGTAATGGTCAGCACTCTCGGTCTCATGTCTAAACGACTCGCTACATTTTTATTTAGGGGAATGCGTGTAATCTGCCCCAGTGGCACTGAGCAGAATTGCACAAATAATGACAATTTACAGGTTTATATTTGTCTTCTTAATCCCTGTTATATGTAGTCATTAAAGAATGATGATCCCCTTGTTCTCACCAGCCCTCTCAGACAACCCTGCTGCTGATATGACATGCATTAATAAATAAATAGCATGTTGTTTTCAAAATAATACTACTGTATTGTTATTTTGAAGCTGAAACTTTGTTTTGCTGGAAAATATTTGTTTTGTATTAAGTTGCTATTATTTATTCTTCTTCTTATTATTATTATATATTAATAATAGTAATAATAATTTGTAAAGCCTTTTTACAACAAATGTTATTCTAGTACTTAAAAAAAACTTGCATTTTGTAAAATATTTTAAATGTATTTTTTATATATTTTCTTTTCTTTTCAGGAGATCCTCTAGTGCTCACTATTATTATTATTATTATTATTATTATTATTATTAGATATTTTTTTACATTTTGTAAAGCCCTTTTTACAACAAATGTGATTCTTGAACTTTGTAAAATATATAAATATATTTAAATTTTTCAATAATATTTTTCTTTTCAGGAGACCATCTTGCGCTCACTATTATTATTATTATTAGAGATTTTTTTAAACATTTTGTAAAGCCCTTTTTACAACAAATGGGATTCTAGAACTTTGTAAAATATTTTAAATATATTTTAATTTTTCAATAATATTTTTCTTTTCAGGAGACCCTCTAGTACCTGCCCCAAACATTTAGTCCTGCCATTTATATAGTTGTTTATGCACATTAAGCTGAAAAGTTACATCAGCTCTAATTACATCAGTTATTAATTGTTAATGAATATTGATTGCTAATTTTTGCTTTGGCTACCATCTCATAAATGGTGCCAACAGCCTCTCTGATTCAGATACTGTAAGCTCACCAGATTCATTACAACCTCATTTAATTCTGCTCAGCTGATGTAATTTGTCTGTATCATTCGAATCAGACTGAGCCATATTTCACAGCAGTATTTCAGTGGCTCTATGGTTTTTCTTTGTCCTCCTCCTCCTATCCTGTTACAGTCTTATGGCTGGCTAAAGCACTACAGCAGGGTGACCCACAACATCCTTTGTAAAAGACTGAATGCACAGCCTCATTTTGCCACCATTATCATATTACATCAAACACATTCTTATTCAAACAGTACTGCCATCTCAGCAGTTTGCTCCAAAGGTGTGCTGCTCGTTATCAAAGCCGCTGTTTCTTTGTTTGCGCATTTGTATTTATGAATTCTGAGTTTCACTCTAGGGATTGCAGGAGATTTATCCACCATTTGGTCCTAGGTAACAAAAGATTAGGATGCCTGTCGATTTAATCACCTGGGTTGACATTTTGAAGTTTGAAATGTTGGTGTTGGTGGGTGCTTCTGCAAAGCTCACAAAGTGAGTGGCAGTCTCAGGTGTGTGCTGTAGAATGAATGAGCGGTAGAGTGAGGTCCACACTGCGGCAGTGGCACACTCCCTCCACCCTCCCTACTAGCTATGTATGCTTTGCTACAGAGCCTCCATCCAAGGTAGCAAAGCTGTTTTTCTTTATCTTACTAGTTCTTTTTATTTCCTCACCTCTTTATAAAATCCATTTAAAGGGTTTAATCGTTCTTTGCAGCAAGAAATTGCACATTTAACATACTTTCACAAATCTGTTCTCACCTTCAACACGTGCTCCTGACAAGTTTGTTAATCTGCATATTTTATTTTCAGAAGAAACACTAAAGAATGCTTTTGTCCTCCTCTTAGAACGACAGAAAAGAAAAACTTCTAGTGAGTAAAATAAAAAAATTACTGACTCACTTATTGAGAGTGCTTATTGAGTGATTCATTGGTCATGGACTTGTTTTATGTATTGTTGATGGATTTTATTCATATGTTTATTTAATTTTTATTCATGTATTCTTAATGTTCTACCGGGCTAGGGCTGGCCGATTTGGCAAAACATTTAAATATCGATTTTTCCAGAATGTTTAACCGATTCTCGATTTTTAACTAGTCAACTTGAAAATGTAACTACAGCATGATTCAAGTAACTTTTTCTTTATTAACCCTCTAGTTAAAGAAAATTATATTCCAAGTGCAGCTCACATGAAGTTGTCAACATGATGTAAATGTTAAACAAATCACTTAAATTAGTTAAATATCTTTGCAGAAAAGATGCATAAACTACAACTACATATTGTACAAACTTGTCTTATACATATTATGTGTTCAGAAATAATACAAGGAAAATGCTTTTTAAAAAAATCTCAAAATTCAAATTCAAAATGACTGAAGGTATAACACCAGTAGACTTTTATTAACTATAAATGTTCAGTAAAAACAACAGCAGCTTTCAGCCTGTCACCATGATGCAAACATGAAATATCAGACATACAGTAGTAGTTCTTTACAGGTTTTTTATTCAATTGCGCTGCTTTTCCATTGTTTTTTCTATGTAAACATGGATGTGTTTGACTGTTGCGCTTGAGTCTCTTGCAGTGTCTCATGCATGAAACGCCATTCTAAAAACACTACGCTCAAGATAAAAGAAGTTCACTCCCATCTTCTTGCATGTTTTACCTATTCCACTGCCCGCGTCGCATCTTTATCAACACAAAAGTGCGTCACACGTGAGCGGTTATTCACGTGTGCCGACATGTGGTTGAATCGTTCTTTTCTCTTTACTGTTATCACTGGCATATTGTCAAAGTGTCTAATTCTAACATTTGGTAATATTTCTATTCAAAATCGCGATTCCTCTGTTTCAAAAAAATTAAATCGTGGCAAAACATTAAATTCGAATGAATCGATAAAATCGGGGAAATCGCCCAGCCCTATACCGAGCAATCGCCAATAGTTTTATGAAAATTGTCTCCCCAAAAAAAACATGCCCATGGTCTGATTTGCTCATTTTCTGATCCATGACAATTAAATCACCAATTTCAGCTTCATTTAGTAGTTTTTTTTTTTTTGTATTTGATTATATTAAATGGAGAGCAGAAGCTGAAAACCTAACATCACAATATTGAATAAAACTCATATATACAAACT